TCCCATCCATCCCCACCAGTCCAGAGGGCAACCCATTTGCGAGCCACATTATGGCCGTCTATTTAAAGCCACTTTTATGGCTCTCACTTTGTATCTGGCTTTTCGTTTGTCTCACTTTTTTATGTTTTTATGTTTATATGGGGTTAAACACAGTGTTAGCCAGAAGATCATATTTTTTATTGAAGCATAACATATATAACTTCTTGAGTATCAGAGTCAGAAATTATTATAAAATTTATATATGCAGTTTTAAGTTTTTTTTATCATTCTTACTTTATAATAATCATCATTGTCATTTTATAATAATTCACTTTTAACTTGATACAAGTATTGAGTTTATGGCAATTTTTTTATAATTCAGAGTGGATTAAAAGAAATAGGCAATTAAAAAATGAAAATGATAAGACGGAACACTAATTTATTAAATTAAAATTTAACGGAATATAATTCTATTTGATTATAAACAATTGAAGTTTAAGAAATACCAATAAATAAATTATAATTTTTCTTGTTCCGCTTTTAAATAAACTTCTGAACTACCTGAAGAACAAAAGCCCGTATTAAGTAATAACAAAATCGCTTGTTAGGCAATTTCCTAAGAAATGGGAAAACCTTGATCCGATTATACCAGGTATAATTACAAGTTTTCAACTGCAGTCGAATAGGCTGGCCGGCAATTGCGGCAGGAGTTGGTAATTTGATTCCAATTAACGTAAATCCCTCGCTGCAAAAGTTGATCCAGTGTGAGCGGTTGCTCGATGGGAAAATTGGCAAGTGCCAATGCAAATGGCCAAGAGGCTTAATGCCTGGCCACAGCAGGATACACACACCGACACACACACACACACTGAGAGCCGTGTCCTGCAGTTAATTTGCTGATATTATTGCTGTGATTAACACATACATGTTTATGTGCCCTGACCGTGTTTTATATATAAACACACAGGAGCACACAACACACAAGTGTGTGTGTGGGAAATCTGTGCATTGCACTTGAATTGACGTCGGTTTCTCACGCACACACACAAGCAGACATGTCCTTTGCCAGGATGATAAATGACTGGACCGAGCTTATAATATTAATAACATAGACAAAACACTTGAACATGTCGACATGCATAACATTTTGGCTCACATAGACAGTTGGATATCAAATATAGGCACTGAGGGAAAAATAAACCAAATTTGTTATACATTCAGACAAAAAGGATCATTTTGGGTTTTAGAAGTTGATGGATTTTTCTCCAGTGTACACACACGCACACGTTGCAGGGTCCTTAGTGTTTATATGTGTATATCAACTTGTAATTAATTGACTTGATGGAGAATGTAATTTAATTAAGCAAGCATTTCGATGTGACTCCGCCGCCATATCCTTGTTGTTGCCATGGCCAATTTGCTCGGTTTCCATCTACATCTACATCTATATACTGCTCATTCTGCCCCCCTCTGATGGGTATGTGTGTGTGTGTTTATCTGACTGGGTCTTTTGCCATGGCAGCCAATTAGTCTTATGGCATTTGAGCTCCCACACGGCGTATGCGTAACGTGAGATTATTAATGCAAATCGGGTTTGCATTGACAGCCCCAAGTTTTGACAGCTTTGTAAGGATTGACAAGGACAAAGTCCTGTAGTCCTGGATATATATGTGCAGGATATGAAGTGGCTAGTAAATGCTTAATTGGGTAGATTGTTCAAATGCTTTTATAAGCATTTTACAACACTGTCAGCTATTTATTACGAGTTTTTAAAATATAGTTGTTTTTCCCTTGTAAGTATAAAGTCCACGTTAAACAATCTATTGCAGATTGACTATATGATATGATATATGATAATTATCTAATGTTATATTCATCATGAAATTTATGGACTGATTACCAACACTATTTCCTAAGAAGGAACCAAGAATTGAGTTCTGATTAAACTTAAGTTCTTTAAACTCCAAGCTGTCAACTGCAAATGCAGATAACAAACGACTTAAGCGGTTTCCAAATTATCCTGTTTGGGACAGAAACCGCAAAGGGTTTACAGGCCCATTTGCCCGATTCTTAGCAAAATGCTCAAGTTTTGATTAATTTAGCGCCTCTTAAAGAGCAAACACGCTGGTAATCATGTGGGTTGTTTGTACATAAATTTTGTTGTTGCTCTTAATTGGCTGACAGCAGTTGGGCCCCGGGCATGTCCTTGCTGCAAAGTTAATTTATTCTAATTAGTCAATAAATCTCAATTTATTTCACAATCAGGCTACTCTGTGTGTGAGTGTGTGCACTCGAGTGTGAGTTTGCTTTTGCTTTAAGGCATTTCTGGCTTCCATGCAAATTGTAAATTGTCCTGCTTTTCCCCTCTGCTCCCCCTGGAAAATTTCCCTCTCCTTCATAAAATCACATGTTCGGGCAGCTGCTGCAAGTGCAACAACAGCAACAAAATACAATTCGGCATAATAATTACTGAGGCATTAACCAGCATCACACCTTGCTTCCTCTTGTTATGCGCTTCAATTAAATTACGATATATTTCATGGCTCCCGGGGAGATTTTAGCTGGGTAAATAAATAGCGGATTAAACTAATGCAAACAGCAGGATCGAAAAGTGCATATTTTTATCAAAGTGTTCGTTTTATGAATTTAATTTAGCTTGTTATTATTTCTCCCACCACAGCTACAGTTCGCATCAAAGCTTTAATACCCAATTAGAGTTAGTTTTAAAGGTCTGTAATTATTTTTTTAATAGTTGTCAGCCCAATTATAATTATACATGTTACTTTAGAGCTTCAAAATCTATTGCAACATATTTATTACAAAATATTTATTTCAATAACATAATTTATGTTTGTTCCAATTTTTTGTAAGACACTGTATCTATCAATAATAAAACCATTTATTATTTGTATTTTTTGCTGTGGATTTCCGCGTTCAAATTAGCCAAATTAAATAATATAAGCATACGCAAAGAGGCAGACAATCGAATATTTATGGGTAAATACGCGCATTAGATGGGAATTATTGAGCGAGTGGGTTTTAAAAAGTATTTAATTTAATTAAATGGCCACAATTGCGATTGTGCTTTTTGAGCTAGCTTTGACCAGCAAAATATTGTCACATTAAATAAACCGAATAATCCTCCTAAAAACATGATGTTCGTTGGTGTTCCAAATGCTGAGCACTGAGGAGAAAATCAACATGAATCATAGTTTAAACATTTGTGGTAGTAGGGAACCATTGAGAATTTCAGGAATATTTACCTAATATTTTAGTAATATTTATGTAATTTAGTAAAATTTGAGTACACTTTTTTTTAATAAATGTATGTTTTGTTGTTTTCCTGATCTATGTCTTCCTTTAATGGCTAAATGTGAATGTGACAAGGAAATGTCTTGTTAGAAGAGATTTTAGTGTTACCCTATATATCATCATTTTGAGCTATTATTTGTTGGAGTTATATTTCTTCAAAAACGCAATGCGAAATAAATTAATCGATACCTAGAGGGCATTTTAGGAAATACAAATAAATTACCTAATGGTTCGTATTACCCAAGTTATGAAAGTTAGAAGTCCAGTTTTGGGTCCCCATTCTGTAAGCCATTGATTTACGGAAAAATCGAACATGAAAATGGGTCAAAATTTGACCCTCGTATAACAGAAATATTTAAATGTTATTATTAAGAATTTTCCACAAATTCAAAGGTACCCACGTTTAAATGGTTCGAATTACCAAGTTATGAAAGTTAAAGTCCAGTTTTGGGTCCCCATTCTGTAAGCCATTGATTTACGGAAAAATCGAACATGAAAATGGGTCAAAATTAGACCCTCGTATAACAGAAATATTTAAATAGTTTATTAGAGAATTCCACAAATTCATAGGGTATCCCACGTTTAAATCGGGATGAATTACCCAAGTTATGAAAGTTAGAAGTAGTTTTGGGTCCCCATTCTGTAGCCATTGATTTACGGAAAAATCGACATGAAAATGGGTCAAAATTGACCCTCGTATAACAGAAATATTTAAATGTATATTATTACAGAATTTTCACAAATTCATAGAGGTATCCACGTTTAAATCGGGATCGAATTACCAAGTTATGAAAGTTAAAGTCCAGTTTTGGGTCCCCATTCTGTAAGCCATTGATTTACGGAAAAATCGAACATGAAAATGGGTCAAATTTAGACCCTCGTATAACAGAAATATTTAAATGTTATTATTAAGAATTATCCACAAATTCATAGAGGTATCCCACGTTTAAATGGTTCGAATTACCAAGTTATGAAAGTTAAAGTCCAGTTTTGGGTCCCCATTCTGTAAGCCATTGATTTACGGAAAAATCGAACATGAAAATGGGTCAAAATTAGACCCTCGTATAACAGAAATATTTAAATGTTATTATTAGAGAATTTTCCACAAATTCATAGAGGTATCCACGTTTAAATCGGGATCGAATTACCCAAGTTATGAAAGTTAGAAGTCCAGTTTTGGGTCCCCATTCTGTAAGCCATTGGATTTACGGAAAAATCGAACATGAAAATGGGTCAAAATTTAGACCCTCGTATAACAGAAATATTTAAATGTTTATTATTAAGAATTTTCCACAAATTCATAGAGTATCCACGTTTAAATAGGTTCGAATTACCAAGTTATGAAAGTTAAAAGTCCAGTTTTGGGTCCCCATTCTGTAAGCCATTGGATTTACGGAAAAATCGAACATGAAAATGGGTCAAAATTAGACCCTCGTATAACAGAAATATTTAAATGTTTATTATTAAAGAATTTATCCACAAATTCATAGAGGTATCCCACGTTTAAAGAGGTATCGAATTGACCAAGTTATGAAAGTTAGAAGTCCATTTTTGGGTTTTGGGAAAAATCGATCATGAAAATATATATATATTTCAAATATTTCTTATATACAAAGATTGCCTTTATATACGAACTTTCTTATTTATATTTTCTAAAAATCGTATGCATTTTATATTATATATATTCTTTAAAAATAATATAGTCCTACCTGAGTTTCGGTGACCATCAGCAGCTTGGCCATGTCGGTGCGCTCGCTGGAGCTGAGATACTTCTTCACCTCGAACTGCTTCTCCAGCTCGAAGATCTGGCGGCCCGTGAAGGTGGTGCGGGCCTTCTTCTTGCGCCGGGCATCCGTGGATCCCGAGTCGGAGTCGTCCTCGGTGGTCTCCAGCGTGCTGTTGGCGTTGCTCTGCAGCTGCGGATTGGCATTTCCGCCCGGCGAGCTGTTGAGGTTCCGGTGGCCATCAGCTTGTCCCGCATCAGACTGTCGCTGCTGCCCGTGGGACTGATGTCCGGCGGTAGAGCCACCGTTGCCGCCGCGGTGGGCGTTAACTTCTTCTTCTTGGCCGCCGGCTTACCAGAGCTCTCTGTAGAAAAAAAAAACAAAGAAATACAACATCAGTTAGCCATACATGAGTATGCATATTTGCCTCGATCGTGTTTGCCTCACTTTTCTATCGAATCGCAGCTGTTTAACCTCAATTGGGTCTCTTGGCTGTCATTTCATAACCGCTTTTGCAATTAGCCCGTCAAATGTAACAGCATTCGACTGGGCCAACTGCCTTTTGTTGTTATGCACTGTTCCATTCCCCGGTTATATGTGTGCTTTCTTTCTTATTTCTGGTTCCCTCTCTTTTCAATGTGCATTTGCTGTTTGTCAATTGCCATAAGCTTTGGCTTTTGTTTTCGATTTCGATCTCTTGGATTAAGTGGGTTGTTGGTCTTGAGGAACAATTCGATTGAGAAAAAATACCCCTTTTATTCTAAAAAATCATTTAGGGAACCTCCTTCTTATATGGTTGTTTGATATAACTTGATCTTTAAACAAAATTCAAGTGTATTTACTATCCCCTATTTACTATCACTATATATTTAAGAAACCTCTGTTTTTTTTATTTTTTCATACAAATCATATGTATTTTCCAATTTGGTTTTATTCTTAGTTATAACTTGAAGTTAAGCACTGTAAATAACATTTTGAAGTGTATTTAATAGCTCGGAATAAATTTAAATATTCAATTTAAGGCCAAATTATTTTACAATAATCTAAAAAAAATTTAATACATTATAATCTACATATCATTATACCAGATATGATTTAATGGGTTCACCTATAAATAGTTTCCTGGGCTTAAGCCCTCATGTTTACTATAATCTATGTATACCTGCTAGATGTTTTTGATAGTATCTAGTCATTTTTCGCAGGGCATTCATTGGGCCCTTTCATTAGCCAATGGCCGACTTGTAATATCGGGCGAAAACAAGTGTTAACTGTGCCATAAGTGCCATATGCTTCGTCCGCGGCTTTTGGACCTGACGGGGCCAAAACGTGTCTGGCATGAGTCGAGCGCTGGCTGGACAACTTCAATTACCAATGCATAATTGAAATCTAATTGACAGTTAAATGCAAAACGCTCGATATCGCAGTGCGCTGTGTCGTTTGTCGCATTGCTAATACGCCGCGTGGGCCCCGGCGGCCTCATATGCATGACACTGTGATTAATTAGGGGGGCGGTTGTGACACCATTGCCATTGTCGTTGTTGCTGTATTCCCGCTGTCGCCATTGGCAATTGGCAATTGGCAATTTTCACCATCGAACACAACCCCCTCTAGAGAAATGGGAGACGATGTTAGTGGAGTGTAAAGGGCGCCCCAATGGCGCGAAATCAATAAAACTAAATGGCAAAACAAAAGCGGAAAAACAACAAGCTGGCCAAGCGTTAAAAGCCCGCAACTTGTGCAATTAGAGCAACAACAATAAAAACTTTGCACAAATGTTTGTTTATATTGGCTGCTACCCCTGTAGCCGCCGGTAGCTCTTAACGCCAATTGGCAATTGCCATGTCATTTTCATTAGGCCCAGTCGTCGCCGGGCATTTAAATGTCGTTATGCCAAGCTACCCACTAGAAAAAAAAAAAACACAAAAATCTATATGTATTAGGCTTCAACTTGGTGCCCAAACTCCACTCGATTTGACGGCAGTTCCATTTATGGCAGCTGCAAACAAGTAATTAAGCGAAAATTAACCGATGACTATGTCAAACAATCGGATGTCTGGAAGTTCGTCATTCAATCGTTTCTGTTGTTTTTGCTGTTGTTTTTGACCAAGTCTGGTACGTGATTTTAATAACAATAAAAACGGAACACACACACACAACATTGAGCAATTAACGCGCCAAGCGAACGGCGGCAGCAAAATTATTCAAATTTGTTCTCAACTTTGCTTATTTTGCCCACCGATTGCCATTTTGCATGGGCTTCATTGTTGCCGTGGCAATTGCTAATTGCATTTTCGTTTATTTTCATGCCATTCCGCTGGCCTCTCTCGAATTAAATCATTTTAATGCAGCCAAAGCGAATGCATATTCAAATTGGCAACCATTTTCAATTCGCATATAAAATAAAATGAAATATAAAAAAACAAAGCAATGAGCCAAAAGTGCATCTAATTAAATTTTGCACATTTTGTTGACCAATTACACTTTCAATGGTTTATTAATTATCGAAACGGAATGCGGTGAATATATATGCAAACAATGTGCTTGCCTTACAATTTTTGGCACGTTTTGAGTGATTTAACAAGATTTTTCGGGCAGATATCTCATCGAAGTGCAGAGGAAAATATAAGAAAAAAGGGATCAGACTTTCCGTTTTTATAGATCATATATTTTTCATATGTTTCGGAATGGATTGCATAAATAATATTTGATACTCAGAATATGTATTTATGGGGTCTAAACAAATCTTTCGAGAAATTTCCCTACTGTAATTAAGCTGTAAATGGCATATAAAATTCATAGAAAATTGAGTGGCTGACAGACGAGCCGAAACCCAACTGGAGTGTGGTAAATTCTAATGACCTGGCCATTAGCCTAACCGAAAAAAAAGGGGCAGATACGGCGAGCGGGCCAAGAAGATACCGATGGGCATCATTTAAGTTGGCAAAACACGCATACGCCGCGTTGCCCGCCGCACGCTTCGCTGAAGCGTGTTGAGAGCTCGGCGCTCCGCTCAATTGGCAGCCTCGTCGAGCGTTGCCACATGGCGTACACATCCTACCTATGTCAGGCGCCAATACGCAAGGGATGGGAAAGAGATCAGTTCAGAAATAGAATCACTCTCAAAAATATTACCATAATTTATACACTGTCAACTGTTGGCTTGCTTATATGATTTGTAATTTCAAGAATAAGTTTTCTTAAATTTATTCTTTAAATAATACTATGCTAGATGCCAATATGCAAGGATGGAAAGAGACATCAAAAAAAAAAAAAAAAAAAAAAAAAAAAAAAAAAAAAAAAAAGCTAAAACTCAAAAAACACAACCAATACGAAGGGATGGAAAGAGATCAGTTCAAAATAAAACACTCTCAAAATATTCTAAAATGTAACACTGTTAACTGTTCACTTGCTTATTACTTTTAAGAAGAAGTTGTTCTTGAAATTCTACTGCTTTGAATAAAAAAATGTCTTTTAAAAAGTTGTCGAAATCTTTACAGTAGCACTAATAACACTGCCATTACCTTACACTTGTTTTCCTTCTTATAATATATTTGTATATATTTGTAATTTCCCCCATATAATATATTTTTTCTCAGTGCTTAAGTAATGCCAATGCTTACCCTTCTTGGTGGCTGACTTGCCGAGGATTTGGCTCTGTTTGGTGGCCGGCATGGGTGAGTTGCTGCTGTCGCGGGACTTTTTGGCCACACACAGATTGAGCGGCTGATCGAGCGGAGTGGCTGCTGCTGCTGCAACAGTTGCTGCGGTGACAGTTGCTGCTGCGCTGCGGCAGATGTTGCTCCTGCCAAGGCGCCGCTGTCCTCCTCACTGGCCTCGCTCATCGAAATGGAGGAGCTCCTCATGGGCTGCTGATCCTGATAGGGCTTTAGTATGCTGTTCGGGACTTGGCCGGACCATGGTGATCGAAGGCTCCCTCCGAACGATCCTTCTTCACCAAGGATATGCCCAGGATGTCGGCGATGGAGTGGGGAGTTGGGCGGGGCGGTATCGATCGTAGACATGGGCATGCCAATTGGTGGGCGGACCAGGTGTGGTGGTGATTGCAGGTGTGCTGGCTGAACGCCGTTGTTGTTGCTGCTGTTGCAGGGATGTTGCTGCTGCGGATGTTGCTGCTGCTGGGGATGCACTGAACTTGGCCGGGGAGCCACAACCGCCTCCAGTTGCTTCTGCAGGAACGTGGTGGGCGGCTATCCGAGATCGGGCTGGCCAAATTGTTGTTGTCGCGCACGCGCAACATATTCACCAGCTTCTCCTTGCTGCTGCCAATCGGACTGACCATGGTCATCGAGGTGGGCGGAATGGTCAGGGGACTGCTGTAATTATAGCCATTGCAGGCCATCTTGAACAGATCGGATGGGGACTGCTGATGTTGCTGCTGCTGATGGTGTTGCAGGTGGTGATGGTGTGGCTGCTGCTGTTGCTGTTGCTGATCCTTTACAATACCATAATTATGCCCCAGGGCACCGCTAGCCATTTCCGCTTCAGTTTCGCGTTCAGTTTCGGGCATCATTTAGGCCACGCTGCCTGTTGGTACGATAAAAAGAACACAGAAAATAAAGTTAGCACAGAAAAATTGAGATAAAGTGGGAAAGGAACTTAGATTAGCCCGAACAGCTGCACATTTGTCGTCAACTTGTTAATGGTTTGCCTGCCAACTGGCGCCTGGTAATGTAATTTGTGCCCGCCCTCGACGTGAAGGCCAAAAGGCTTCGTTTACAGTAGACTCCACCCACTTAACCCCCCCCCCCCCCCAACTGAGACCCAAAAGTAATGCAATAAAATACAGCGTCAGTCCGTTGCCACTTGCTGCCTGTGCCGCAATTTGCACGGCAAAAAATTAATTGAGCTTCTAAGAATAATTTAGAAAAGAAAAAAACTGTGATAATTGCACTTCAATTATGTATTATTGTATAACTTAGCTTAGTTAAAAACTTTATAAATGATAATTATAGGAAAACAGAGCTACAGATATGTCATGATATATCATAGAAAAAAGCTAATAGTTTAATTTGATTTGGATCTACAGTATTATTTAGTGATCTAGGTATAATTAGCACATATTTGTCAGATCTGTAAAAATGTCGAAGTTGTGAAATCTGTGATTAATAAGGTGATAAGTGCTTGGCAAGATTTATGTTAACCTTAGTTGTTAGATTTAATATAATCTTGAATGGTGAATTATCATATTAAATAACCTAGTTTTTAAAAATTCCCTTATATTATTGATTGACATTTTTTTCCCAGTGCAGTTCAACTTATTTAACCCTCCGGCGGGCCTTGGCTTCGGCTTCGCCTGAATTGGGTTGAGTTGAAATGGGTTGAGGCGAGTTGGGTAGTCAGGCGTAGCCTATTTCCTGGCGCACTGCGTTGTGATTTGCATAACAAAATGTTGCACAATCATTGCGAAAGAGGGAGCGAGTGTGAGCGAGACGGATGGAGATAGAGCGAGAGGAAGGATCTAACTAGGCGGCACATACGTTTTCAAGTTCTGAATTCAGGGGGGGGGGGGGGGGGTGAAAGTGGGGCGGTGGGGCGGTGTCGCACAGCCTTCTACATTTGTCATTGTGAGCGTGCGTTTGTGTTTGCAAGTGCTTGCTGAAAATTTATGGCACAACATTTGAGTGTGACACAATTTAACTTAATTCGTTAAGTCAAAAGCGTGTGAAATGTACAAGGGAAATTATTATTTTTTAAATTGGAGCAGATTTTCGGTCGGAGCAAATAATTTTATTAAAGTGTCATTAAATTGAATAATTTATAGAACTTAAATCTTTATTTGGTAATTGGTTTAGTGAGTAATTTTTTATGAATGCATGGGGTTTTTAGACGTTTAAAAATCACTTAAGTCTGTGGCTTTTGAAATGTATATTTAAGGCTGCGGTTCTAAGATAATCTAAGTCTTAATAAAATAATTATAAATGTATTTTATTGCTTTGGGATTTCTATTTGTCAAAGATGATTTAATACAGTCTGAAAATCCATGACTCATATTTCCATTTTAAATGCAAGTCAAATAATTTAAGACCCAAATTACCCATAGTTTAGACATGCCAAAAATTCCTTAAACAACTTCAAATCAGTTAGTAATCCTTACAATTTGTGTGCAGTTTAATACAACTCAAATATTTGCTGTAGAAATGAATTAAAATTCACTTGGCTAAAATTTGTGTAAACAATCTGCACTTAATTTGTTGGCATTTCAATGCATCGTTATGCGTTGTAACAACTCATTTCTGGCATTCCCAAAAGCAATTTAAATTAATACAAAGTGCACACTCACCCCGACACTCACACACACCACACACACCACACACGCTGGGCAGACAGCCACCCACCAGCCACCCACTTTCCGCAGTCGCTGTCGACGTCGCTGCCGGCGTCGCAGTCCGAATGTCAGATTCTAGCAGCGCGCTCAATAAAATGATGCGTGCTTAAATGTTTTTTATTGCCGCTCGGCAGCAACAACAACAACAAAAGGAGACACGAAGAAATTTGCCACTCACACAGATACACCCCCCACCCACACAGCCTTGGCCAAATTCTCTCTCAACATGCGCCACAGAGAGAGTTCATAGATGTTGCCAGCAACATGTTGCCAAGGCGCCTGGCAAAATCACTTAAAGAGAAATAAAATAAATGGCAAACAGCAACAACAAAACGGAAAGCCAATTCAAAGCGATGATGATGGGCGGTGGGGGGTGGGTGGCTGGAGTTGGATAGAGAGAGTGGGGGGAGGGGGTCAGGAATGTGTTGCTGGCTGATTTGGGGGACATATTCAAGCAGCGGAAGCAGCGCAGGCAAGCGGAAGAAGTTATTTCAATTGCCTTGCCTTCCAGCCCCGAACGCAGAAGGAGAGAGAGAGAGGGAGAAAAGAGAGGGCTAAAGAGGCCCTGCACTGAGAAAAAATTAAAGAAAAAATAATTTCACCATTAAAAAATATTAGAATGGTACTCAGTTTTAATATTAGAGATGGTGTTGTTAATAAGATTAAGTTTTTAAATATATTTTATGCATAAAAGATTTTTGAACATTGTAGAATCTAAAAACCAATTTGAAATATTAATAATATATATTTTACACAGAGAGAAATATTTAAGTTCATTGTTCTTGAATTGAAACATTCGTTCTTAAAAACGTGTAAGTACATTTTATATCATTGTTCTCAATATTATAAGAAATGGTGAGAAGAGAAAAGTTAAATTAAGTTTATTGAACAATTTTTGATAAGTATACATACTGACTGGACTAATAGTTTTTTTGTTGATATATAAAATGTACATACGCCAATTACACTTGATTCGGGCAAATAAAGCATTTTCAACTTTAAAATGTCGTTTATTTTTAAGAACATTTTCAACTCAGATAAGAACGTCAGAATTTCCTGTGTGTAGTTGAAGTTTAAAAAAAAACCACCGAGCTTGTACACAAATAGCAAGTAATTCAGCATCATGTTTTTTTATTTTTAGTTAAATTGTTAATTTAAACCAATTTGATCTTAAATTTCCAAGGCCATTCTTTTCCGTGTACCTTCCGAAAAGAGTGCCCTGCCCTGTGGCACGTTCAGTAGCTTAGTGTGTGTATTAGTTACCTGGCACGCTTCTGTTAGGGCCTTCAATGCTCCCCTGCCACTGATAAGCCCCCATTCCCATGCCCATCCCCATCCCCAGCCCCTCAATCGTGCGCTCTGTGGCAGGACCCAAGTGTCGAGTGCCAGGACGAGGGCTAATGGCATTTAAGTTTTGTTAGCTGGACTTGCCACCACGCTGCCATGGCACATGTGTCAAGTCAGGAGCGGTGGATATGTGGATGTGGATGCGAATGTGGGCGGGAATGTGTGACAGAAAATATATTGGATGGAATGTTAAAGATGGCTACAACAGCTAAACTGTATGTCGTGGAAGAGCCATTGTAATCCCAACACTTAAGTGCCCAAACAAATCTCTTTAAACCTAATCTTTGTGGTCATTTGTATACTTGACTTGTTAGGTTGTACACTAAATATGTGATAGATCTTAAATAAGTCTAAGAAATATCCCAAAATTCTTAAATGCCTTTATAAAACCTATTTTCTTGGTAAAACAAAGAGAGTTACAAGATCAGGAGACTTCACCGAGTTTATAAGTCCCTTAAATTACTTTGCAGATTTTACAGACACTAACCCCCTTTCTGAGAATTCGCTCCTGATTGGCTGTGTCGCATATGAACGTATATTACGTTCATCGGAAAGTCTACATTTTTGGTCATTTGGGCAACTTTTTGCCAGCCATATTTGGCCTCGAGGCTTGGGCGATGGTTTTTGGTCCTGTCCATCCAACCATCCGTCTGTCTTTCTCTGCTTGCCAGCATTTTGTCTATTTTATTTCATTTTATTGCATTGACAACAACGCAGTACACATTCCACAGGAGGGTCAGGGGACACAGGGAGGGGGTCAGAGGGCAGGACATGTATGTGGGGGGTGGACTTTTTGCTTGTGTCGTTTTGTTGGAATTTTAACAAGCCACTCTCGAATCATCATCATCAGGGTCTGCTTCATTTGGCCCACGGCAGCTTTCGTCAGAGTCTCTTGGTCGTCCTCAACCGATTTCCCCCTGTTCACTCAAAAAAAAATATAGATTCTGAAGAGGAAAAAGAGAGGAAAGGACTACATTACTTCTTTTAATTAGCATCCTAAATAAAATCATAAGGTTTAAAAAAATTAGTTTAATGTATTGATCAATTGAAATATATTTATGTTTATTACTTTATTCTAACAAGTTAACAAATATTAACAAAAAATATAGCCATAAGTCGAATATTTATGATGCTCAGTTAGGATCCTTTATGAAAAAGGCTTAGAAGTTTTAATAAACTTTTGATATGGACAGACTTTAAAATGCATGTAATCAATCTTAAGAAGTACGAACCTATATAAAGTTTTACTTTCACTTAAATTTTGTATGACTTTAGAAAGCTTCTTTAAAATGTTCCTTTTTTATCTCGAGTGTCATTGTAGACTCCCCTTCTCTTTCTCCATCTCGTTTTCGTCCTTGTTCATGTTCGTCATCGTCTTTGCTTTTCAGCTTTTGGCTGGCTTTTCTTCGTCTCTGGGCCGTGTGTTAGTTTTGACGTTAACTGTGCGGCTGACTTGTCCGCCGTTTTTTGTATCTTCACGCCCGTACCGCCCAGCTGCCGCCCCCTTTTCCAACCCATCACCCCCCTCCACCCCCTGCCTGTACGTTATGCCTTGTCAGCATAATTTAATGTTCTATTCTGTACTGTATTTCTGCGGAGTGTGTGTGTGTGTGAGTGGGTGGGTGCTGTCAACCTGGCAGCTAAAGTGTGTAATTCGTCATTCATATTTACCCCCACGAAACGACCCACCACCACCCCATCCCCCTTGCATTCCCGTAAACTTTGGCTTGTGCGTCATCATTTGCTGCCTTGTAAACCTTATAAATTACGGGTTTTTATGGCCCGCCTTTAGGCAAATAACCATATGAACGTTCGGATCTGGGCAATAAAATATGGGATCTAAATTAGCAGGCAA